AGCAGCCACACACACCGGCGCCATCTTGGATCAAGATCAAAGCAGAAAGGAATATGAAATGTTCCTTTCATTATCATAATCTAATATTTACTGATTGTTGGTAACTGTATTACGTTTTTTATGGTGTAAAGTGATTGTTGTATTGCTATTTTTGTCCAACAGAAGTAAAGTTAGATCTATAAACTTACTTCAGCCACATAGAGGACCCCACACTGGATGAGTCGGGTCACTGCATCGTTCAAAACTTGGTAAATAGTCTGGCAGGGCTGCAGGATGGAGAAGAGAGTTGTTGTAAAAAACAATAAAAATAGTAAGACAAATCCCCAGTAGCAGGACTCTCACACTTTTCCCACAGTAATTCAAGAACTTAGTCAAACTTTTCCAACAGAAATGAGATGAAAACAAAACAAAAAATAAACTAAATTCATTATAATTATATAATTATAAGACTGGCAGCCCGCCAGGCTTATAATACACTGAGGGAAACCCTGAGCAATCATATTTTTCTTAAATTGCAAAGTGCAAAATTTCCAATAATGCGATCCGTGTGCTGGACTTACTGGTGCCACCGCCACCTCGTTGGTCAGGAAGTGGGAGAGACCTGCCGCCTTGTGGATGAGACGCTCCTGACTGAGCAGGAGGCTGCTGCAGTCCCTCGGTTGGTGAGGAGACTCTGTGATGAGATCTCGCTGCAGTGACAGGATGCTGCAGGCTGGAAACAAAGCGAGCATTTAGAAATCCTCTAAACACGTCAAAGCTGCAGCCGAGCGACGCAAGCAGAAACGGCTGTGTCGTCGTACCGATGATGGCGTCCGGAATGTAGACGTGGAAAAGGCCGTTGCTGTAGAAGTTGAGCTCGAAGAGCGCGGGTACGGTCTGACAAGCTGCGATGGTGAACTCTCCGTTGCGGTTGGCGCTGCCGGTCACGTTGATGCATTTTTCCAGGAGGTGCAGCGCACGCATGACCACATCCTCGGAGTCGCCTGAAAAACCCAGGTCAAAGTCCCGGGACAGGATCTCCTCCTTCATGTTGAAGAAGTCCTCCACCAGCTTGGTCAAAACAACCCCCTGAAAAAGATGAATACAGCATTTTAAAAGACCTTTCTGTGATCAGTTGCTTTTAGATGTTATGCAGTTACACCAGAGAAGCTGCAGAGGGCGGGCATGAGCCACAAATGTCCAAAAAAAGTGAAGGGAGAAGACTTTGAGGAAAACTAGAGTTAAAGTGCTCAGCTAAAGTTTTCACACCCCTGAAACTTTGTAACATTTTCTCATAATGCAACCATAAACCTAAATGTATTTTATTGGCTTATTATGTGATAGTCGAACGCTTTGGGATGACTAATGGAGCTGCAAAAGGTTTAAGGTGCACCACTTTATCAACCAGCTGATTTATTTGTGCAGATTTCCTTAGTTTTGAGAGATCAGTGATCGGCTTATACTTGATTGTAAAGCCAATTTTATCTTCCTCTGCCAACCGCTGTTCTCTCCTGCTCTGCCTTTAGAGAGGTTTGACTGACAGACCATCCCATCAGGTCATGTCTGCAAATAGCAACATTCACTCCATTGCTGTCAAATCAGCGACTTTCTTGCTATGTTTAGCAACATTTCAGACAAAAAACAATTGGCATTGGCCAAAATCGGAATGGGTAAATCATGTTTATATTTTAAAGATCGGTGATCAACAATCGACAGCAAAACTGCAATCGGTGCAGCCTTAATTGGAATGGCTCAGTCAAAGTCCGGATCTACTCTTGTGTAAACTTGACAAAGCCTTAGCTGCTTTGCAAAGAAGAATACGATAAATTTCACTCTCTGTCTAAATCAGGTAGAGATGGATGTGCAGCAAAGTCAGAGCTCTAAGATTCTTAACAAAAACAAATTTAAGATTCTCTTTCCATTTTATCTACGGATTTTCCAGAAAAATTAAACTCAATAAAGTACATTTTAAAAAATTAAGAGATGAAAAGTTTTGCTGGACAGTAGCTGATCCCAGTAATTATTGAGTAGCATAATAATGCAAGTTTGCTCTCTCAAAGACTTCACACTGAAACTGGAAGATATTTTAAATATCCGAAATAAAACACAACCAAAAAAATTAAATAAAATAAAAAGGAGACAAAAACCACACACAATCAAAACCATAAGTAAAATGGATTATGAAATATCTGTAAGCAAAATATTCATCATCAGAAAGGAAAAAATCAAACTCATTTTAATATTTAATCAATTGATTATTGCAACAGGGTTATGCATACTTTGGAAAAGCACACTACAGGATGTGATGCTTACCAGGAAAAAGGAGGAAATGATAAACACACAGAGATAAGAGACTCACCTGTCTGTGTCGGTACAGAAGCAGACAGGCCACAATGTGAGTTGACATAATGGCTGATGATTTATTAGCAGCTGTAAGAGGAAAAAATGCGGTTATGAGCAACAAACATGAGGAAAATTAACATCGTTTAATTTAATTATCAAAAAGTCTTCATGCAGTGCAAAAACCTAAAATCTTGCCAAGTATTTTAGTCCAGTTTCTAGTGCAAATATCTTAGTAAACTTTAATCAAGACAAAACTAATTTAAAAGTAACTTATCAGCAGGATATAGAAGCTTGTTTTAAGTAAATAATTCCTTAATATTTGTGAAAAATTGCTTGTTCCATTGGCAGATTATTTCACTTATTGTGAAATTGTCTTGTTTTAAGTAAATTTACCACCACCAATATCAAGGAATTATTTACTTAAAACAAGCTTCTACATTATAAGTTAGTTTTGACTTATTGCAAGTGTAGTAAGATATTTTCACTAGAAACTAAAAATACTTGGTAAGATTTTATGTTTTTGCAATGCGAGCAAAAACAAATGGGAAGACATCAAGAAAAAGCCATTTTATTTCTATTTAATTAACTTGTCCTCATCAATTATTCAGAATACTTCTCAGTGTGGGGAAACCCTGCAGAGGCAGTTTCTGAAGGAAGCACCCCACTGAGAAATGAAAAAACCTCAGGCAGAAGCAGATAACCTGCCTCAACTGGTTCAGAGAGGACAAGGAAAAACAACCTGGCAGGTTAAATATTTACTTCAAATATCCAGAATGTTAAGATCATCCAAGAGTTTGTGTTCCCCTGAAAACACATTAGAACGATAAAACATTGTGTGCACTACGAAAGCGCAGGTTACTAGAGTTCATCTGGACACAAAAACTGGCACTGCATTTTTCCAGCTTCTCTCCTCCCTCTCTCCCTATTGGCTAGAAACAACATGCCATCCAGCTGACTGCTCTGCAATTGGCTGAACAATAAATTACAAAAAAAAAAAAAAAAAAAAAAGGGGGGTTAGTGTGCATCTGAATGAGAAGAGGAGAGCCGGTCTCTGCAGTGTTACCCCAGGGCAAAGCGCCCTGAGTGATGTGATCCCGATGGGCTGATGCTGCGCCACGCAGTGCCGGATTTCAATTAGGATGAAAGATCGTGTTTCATTGGTGGACAGGTGGATGAAAATGAGACCTGTGCACTCTGAACTAAACTGAATAAAATAGGAACAAACTGTGCTCCGATGGTATAAGTGGCTATGCTAAAGGCTGCAGCAGATTAACTGGAGTTTGTGAATTTCTTACTGAAGAGGACGTGCTTGGCCAGGTTGTTGATGACGTGTCGTCTAAAGAGTTCGTCTGGGACTTCTCTGTCCATCGCTTCCTCTTCCTGCTCATCAAACTGACCATCAGCCCTGGAACAGCAACAAACAGTCCAAGACATCAGGATATCGCTGCAGAAACGCAAAATCTTACAAAGTATTTCAGGTCCAGTTTCTAGTGCAAATATCTTAATACAGTTGGAATAAGACAAAACTAGCTTACAGGTAACTTTGTAGCAAGATATAGAGAGTTGCTTTAAGTAAATAACTTGTTCCACTGGCAGATTATTTAACTTATAACAAGACATTTTTCTCATGCTAAAAGAAAACTTTTTTTTAAAAAAAATATTAAGGAATTATTTACTTAAAACAAGCCTCTATATCTTGCTACAAAGTTGCTTTTAAGATATTTGCACTAAAAACTAAACTAAAATTACTTAGCAAGATTTTGTGTTTTTGCTGTGTAATTCTATTCAAACATATTCCAGCAGGGTTTCCCTCAGTGTATTATAAGCCTGGCGGGCCACCAGGCTTTATTTGTGCCCCCACCAGGCTTAGCGTATTTTTAAAATGTTTGCATTTTTAAGGCTTTATATTTAGTGTTCAGGTATTAATCAATAATCCTGATCAGAGTTTATGTCTTAAATTGAACTTTACATTTAATTCAACTCCATAAAAGGTGACAGACTACGCTCTTTGTTTGTTTAAGCTGCAATCTATCCTAGAAAATACATTTCAGATCTGAAGTTGACGCCTTACAAACGTTTTTTTTTACCACAACATTCCAACGCCAAACCTGTATTTCACATTTCTTTGCTTCCTTTATATCCAAGCTCTTTGTCTGTCTCAACATGTCCCAATAAGCCTCACTCCTCGGTGAATAAAAAACCTTTTGGTATGCGACTGCTAACTTGTATTCATTCCACTTTTTTAAAAGTGATATAAACTCTGAGGAAACAAACCGAGCTGTCATAAGGAACATTCTGTACGGCCGTCTCTGTTTTACTAAGATGAACTGGAGCAACCTCTCCCAGTGGAAAGTCGAGGGCTCAGATCTCGGATGTCGGGTGACAGACGCCGCTGTGAAGCAGCAGGAGGGAGAAATTAGCTCTGGACATAAAGGCTGTCACATCTAAGGCGAAGGGACATCTGGTTTCTGTGTTAACGACGGACAGATAAAAACACTGGATGAGGAAAAGTGCATTACTGTGCAGAGATGATGTATGGCATCAAGGCGTTTTCCAGGGACACTGGAGGGGGAACATGACGGCTCCTCTGGGTGTCCAGGTACTCCTAAATATAACAACAGGGACACAAAAGGCTTTAGGACTTTTAATTAATGACTGACGCACTGAATCAAGATCTTAAAATACTTCATTAAAATGCTTTACAGTAAACATCGTTTATTTCAAGTGTCAGGAGTTTCTGCTTTGCCTAATGAGACTGACGCGGCTTTAGAGAAACACAGTTCCAGTTAAAGTTTCTGCAGAGTTTTGGAAAACTCGACCTTTATATTTGTGATTATAGGACAGATTTTCTTTTTTTCCTAGCATGAATCCCAACCTACTGATCAACGCGAAAATAAAACGTGGGTCCTCATCCAGGCTTTTTTAAAGTTTTTTATTTTTACCATTTTCGAGCTGTTGATCTGACTGAAAATACTGGGAAATTAAATAAGCAGCTATTTTTTTTTAAAAGGAATGTGTACTTGTCTTTCCCTTTTTGAAGACAGGTTGTGTTTCACATCATATCTATGCTCCAGAAAAACTCACATACAGTTAAAAAAATCCTTTTATTTTTTTATCATTTTCTTAAAAAATAGTGAATTATAAAAAAAATGCTTCAAGGTCATTTATTTTATGTGAAATATTATAACTTACTAACGAGTAATAACACCAGAATAAAGTCATAATATTAGGATAACGAGGTAATAGTTTTATGAAAAATAAAAGGAGGAAAGTTGAGCATCTTTAAAGTTTTAAGGTATCAGTTTTACAAATAAGGAAATTGTTATCAGTAGCAGAACTGTGAAACAACTGTCTATTAAAAGAAGCTTTGTTCTTTAAAACAAATATTATTTATCATGTTGATGTGACTTTCTCCTGGCAATATTGTGTCCTTATTCTGCTAATATTTTGACTTTATTCTCATAATATTATGACCATGTTCTGGTACCCAGTAACATTACGAGGAACTTCTTTCACCACCGAGCAAAAGTGCTTAAAATAAAAGTAGGATTTTTCCTGACTCTTTCAGTGTGACAACATGTTGCTGCACTAAAATACATAATTTCAAGTATTTTGGACACATTTTCAATAACAGTAGTGGCTCCATCGGTAAAAGGCCGGTGCAGATTCACCTTTAGGGAGAAGGGCTGGTTGAAATCAACTCGAACACAACCGTAGTTTTTCCTTAGCATCCGAAACACTCCACACGCTATTCCCCACCAACTCTCATTCTGCTTAGGTTTACCCTGAGGAGCACAAAAAACAAACAAAAAAAATAACTAAATAAAATGTGGATTGGGTAATCATAGATCAGAAATAAAAAAAAAAACAGACAACAATCGAAAACATGGGTTAAGAAATACATTTAGCAAGAAAACATATTTTTCTCTTTAAAAATATATAGATATGTATTGGTTCTGTAAAAACATTAATTAATCGATAATCCAAAAATCAACTGATTAACTCTACATTGTATTGCTGCTAAGTCAAGCAGAAAGGAGTGAGAGTGTTTATTTTTTCTGCAAATGAATCCTTTGCTACAAATGATCAGATGTACGGTAAGGTAAATTTATGTTTTTGCATTTTGGGCAATAAAACCTCTCATTTCCTTTTTAAGAAGCAATTTAAATATTTGCATCTTTTAATGCATTTCTAATATTGTATAAAAATTAAGTGATTAAATGTAAAAATTGCAAAATGTGCTGATCTTATTATCCAAGTAAATAATCATACATATACATAAATTTACAGTTCTGGAAAAAGATAATAGGCCACTTAAAATGACCAGTTGATTTTACTCTTTATAGATACACATTTGAGTAAAATGAACATTGTTCTTTTATTCTATGAACTGCTGACAACATGTCTCTGAAATTCCAAGCAAAGATTTAGTATTTATTTGCAGAAAATAACCCAAAAAAAATGTAGCGCTTTCAAAGACCTCAAATACTAATGTTTTAACTCAAGAAGAGTTCTGAAACCAATATTTGGTGGGATAACCATCAGGTTTTCAATGGGGTTCAGTGAAGTGGGCTCTTATTTTTTTCCAGAGCTAAATAAACGTTTGTCGCCAAAGCAAGGAACACAGGCATCGTCCAAGAGCTTACCAGCTGCTCGCTGTTATAGTTGCCTTCAATAATGCGGTCATACGAGATGCCAACTGGTACGACCAGCACGTCTCCGATTGCCCCTGTGAGCAGCGTGTCGACCACGATGGACAGCATGCCTGCGCGGGGTGGAAACGGCTTCCCGCTGCGGGACCGCGTACCCTCCAGGAAGACCTCCAAAAACTGCTGCTGCCTCAATAACTCCTCTGTGTACTGCAGGGGGATTGAGACAAAGAGTGCGTATGTGAGAGGAGTGGGCCAAAGGTCGATGACAAAAAGCAGCGCCCACCATTAAATACTTGAGGTGAAAATGTTTGCCTTTGAATAACAGAAATTAATCCAGGGATAACGAGGATGTGAGTAAAGCGGATGTAGGCTACGTTCGCACTGCAGCCAGATTTCCCCCCCCTTTAATGCGACCTGTAGCTGATCTTTTCATGACAGTCTGAACAACAAAGGTCAGATTCTGTTTTGAATGCGACCCAGGCCACTTGGATATCCGATACTTATGCGATTCAAATGTGACCTGAATCTGAACGGCCAGGTCGCACTCCTCCCACCGGAACGTTATTTATACGCGACAAACGTCACTATTCTGCGTCCTCAGACGCTTAAGCGGGAAGAAAAATAACAAATATGGCGGACTACGATAAGGATTAAGTTGTTAATGTGCTGGCTCCAGTTGGACAACTTCAAAATTGTAAGCTATGCTACACCGTTAGCATCCACGTTTATTTCTGCAAACACTGAGCACTACTACTTCTTCTTCTTTACTGAGCACGCTCTCTATGTGTGACGTTATTGCGCCCTCTACTGCGCATGCTGGACACTTTCAGGACGTTTGCAGTTCACACTGAAGATCACTTAAAAGTCGCTTATATTATTTGGAAGTGTGAACGATCACAGCAAAAAAATAAATAAATAAATAAAAAAACAATTTGACAAAAATTGGATTTGGGTCACTTCGGGCTGCAGTGAGAATGCAGCCTTAGTTCATAAGAAAAATAATCCCTGAATGCAACCTTTTGACTCGGGCATGTTCAGGTCACAGCTACGCAGCGTAACCATATCCCTCTGGATTTAGCATACTCACAGCTGTCTCTTAAGAAGAGAATTTGTTTCCTGAAATATAACATAGATAAGGTCACCGAGTTCAAACTGCAAAGAGAAAGAACATCCAGGCTCTAAGGGAGCCATTTTGGTCTTCACTGCTTCTGCATTTCTCCCTGTGGAATCTGATCTTCTGCTTGACAACATTTCAAATGTTGTAGCAAACTTGGATAATATTGTCAGTTCAACGAAAAAACCCCCCCCAAAAAAAACAAACTGGTGCTCGTCATTTTGAGTGGCTGCTTATGCGTCTTGCAGATAACCGTTATCTGACAGAGGGCGTGTAAAGTCAGCTCGACTGCACTCTTCAGACTTTTCAGTTTTAAAGCTTTATCAGCTACATATCAGCATTTAAACAGAAACATCAACATAATTTACAGTGTAGCATCCAGACTCGTTGAACTTAATCACATTTTGTTACGTTACTAATTTCTGTTTCTATTGCAATTTACAGTGAGAAGAATACAAAGTAGCACGTAGCTACGAAGCTGAAGTTGATTTTAAAGGGTTTTACTTTGTAAAATTGCTCAGATTGAGTCAGGTTGGATAGAAAGCATCAGATCTCAAGCGGATTTGAGTTTGGACTTTGACTAGGCCACTCTACTACAGTATATGAATATGGTTTTATGTAAATCACTCCAACGTAGCAAGTCTTCTCATTGCAAAAAAAAAAAAAAAAAAAAAAAAAAAAATGCTTTCTACTTGCAATGAAAGGCAGCTGCTTGCTGGATTTCATTTTAGGGTGTCAGATTAGGGTTGTAAAGATCCCTTGAATGATTCAAGTACCTAAATTATTAAAAATCCTTGAGGAAAATGTATTTGCCTCGTAGCTTCGTTAAATTATGTTTTATTATTTAGAGCACCGTGTTGCGGTTGGGTGACTGATTATGTTGCGCAGCGCTCTCCCTATGAGTTATTGACAAAAGCTACGTGTTAGCAGTAAAACGCTCAGTTTTCAAGTTTTGCTTGAAAACTTGAAAATCAGTTAATGACTCATCAATGTTATTAATTGATGATAATGTCTTTTTTTTATCATTTTTGGGGGCCCAATAAACATCCTTAAAGTGACTGGCGTGATGCCTGGAGTATGGCAGCCTTTCTCCTCCGAGAGCTGCTGCCTAGTGGTGGTGAAGAGCGCGGCGGGTGCATTTATACAGGTGAGCGGATAGACTGAACACAACGGGCAGCTGGGCTTTAGATAATAAAGCGTAGCTTTATGGACGAACTGGAAAATTAACCTCATATCATCCCGGTCTCACAAATGGGTGGCAGAGTGCATCGTGGCGGTACCTTCGTTTCTGTGACGATGAAGGTGTCAAATCCCATCGCTAACATAAACACAAAAGCTATAAATGGCTGGGCAAAGTGAGAATTCATCGATTAAATTAACTGAATATGAATACATAAACTAAAACTTAAAGTAGACTTTTTTTTTTTAAATAAGAGTGAACTTGCCTCTTTCTTATTAAACTGAATATAATTTCAGATTTTTATATAACTTTTCTTCAGGTTAACTTAGAAAGTGAGCTAATATAGTTACAGGTTAATTTTCTAAGCTACAGAAAAGTTATTCTTAGTGATGCTCAAATATGAAAAATTGGACTGATGTTGATATCCATTGATATCCATTAGTAACTCTGCTGGTATGTTAGCTTTACCAATATTTTATTTTATCAAATTTTTTTATTCGATTACTCGATTAATTAACAACCTATCAATTTTCTCTTACGGTTACTAATATTACTAAAATATTAGTTTACAGCAGCTCTATGTCAGATTACAGAGGCCTAATACAGGTACACACCACTACATATTTTTACATTTTATTTTATACTTCTTTGACATTTGAAGTGTTTAGCTGCAATGTAACAAAATGCAAAAAAGCTAACTTTACTTTTGAAAGCTCCTGTCATTTAAAGCTTCTTAAAGTGTTTAGAAAGTAGTTATTTACGGTTTTTCTCCTTCACTGTGGAACTGAACAGGTTTTCTGAGTAGAAACCTGCAAAGCTCTATTATCTGGCTGAACAAAAACAGGTTCTCATTCGGGTTCTGGGTTAGATACTCTCTTATTTCCTACAAAGCTTTTCATCCACACACAGAAACCCAAAACCTTCCACCTGTTTGAAAGGTGCTGAACCATAAAAGCTTTGAAACTTGCATTATGTGACGGTTTACAGGTAAAACATGGAGGCCGTTTTAACCACCTGAGCTAACTTGGACGTGTGCGGTCACAGAAGTTCGTAAACCGATCAGGAGATCTGAAAACGAATCCTTAAATTAAAAAGTCAGAAGATGCATAACTCGACCCAGGAGGTTTCACATCCCTGGATCAAATTTACTCAAGTAAACATCGGAGGGACATTTTACAGTGTTGACTGCAAATTTAGCAGGTTTGAATAACTTCTGATTAGAACAGTCACAATAAGCAATAAATCAATTAATCGCATGATAAATTTAGACAGACTCAATAATTTCCATTTGAATGATTTATTGGATTTCTCTTTTCTCTCTTTCCGCCAAAAACTGGATGACAAAAGTCTTCAGTCTGGTGCTTTGGTTTAAACTAGCCCCCTTTTTTGAGACTTTATTATTCTTTTTTTTTTGTTATTTCTGTTGTTTTGTTTATTTATTTCGGATATTTAAAATATATTCCAGTTGCAGTGTTAAATGTTCATTAAAACTTAAAGTTTATTGATCTTTTGAGAATGTGTTCTTGCATTATTATATCATCGTTTATCATGCAGAAAAATTTGCTGAAGTGACAGGCCTACTTCTGAATAAGAAGAAATATTGCGCTGAAATAATGTAAGAAAAGCAGAGAAGCATAAACATCAGCATCTCGTTGTGTATAAGAAAAAAACGACTTACTGTATGCAACAGCGACCTGTACAAAATGTCTTTCTTTCCATCCGCTGTCTCCTCCATTCTCCGCCGGATGAAAAATCCACCGAGTTTACGAATCACAGTGCTGAAAAAAAGAGAAAAGAGATTAATTTTGTCGGTATGTTAGGTCAAACTTTATACGAGGCTTTGCAGCTGCTTACCTGAGGATCGGGATGCTGAGATTGTTTCCTGCTGCGATGTGGGGCGCCTTGATGTTATGACAGAACAGAATCAGCGTGATGAGTAGGTAGTCGATGTGGGATTTGTGGACTGGGAGGAAAATCATGGGCAGTTTTCGCTGCAAAGACCAAAAATTTTTTAAAAATTAACTAAAGAAAAACTGCATCTGTTCACAGAAAACAATAAATTACAAATATGTGGGACAGAGGTTTAATTTTATCAGGGCTCAAGCACAATTTTCATCTCTAAATTGTTTCTGCAGACTCCAGTCCTTTTAAAAGTATCATAGCTTAAAATATAAGTATGATGGATGGACAATGGACAAACAGAAATGAAGTCTGAAACTTTTCCGTGAAGAAACTCTGGACATATATAGTTGTAAAAATCTACATGGGATGCAATACTCTAACTTCCTCTGAAGCCTAATGATAAGGAAGAGTAAATATGCACATCACTAAGCAAATTTTGTTGTTTCACTTTTGCAAAATGATGCTAACCTCTGCAGCAGCTTTCTTCACCATCTCCAGCTGTCCTTTGTGGATCTGGATGCTCCAAAAGAAGCCATTGAACAGCCTGAGGAGAACCCACCCAGTCAGCCTGAAAGGATAAAGTAAAGTAAAAATGGAGCAACAAGCCTGTCGTTCTTATTTTCTAGAACAGAACGATCCTAAAACCTGATGAACGGCGGGGAAACGTTGGCCACCATCTCCTGGAGGACGGCTCTGGCTTTCTGCTTCACTTTACTGACTGGCTGGCTGACTGGAGCCTCCGACTCTGCAGCAACCTTCGAAATGGTAGACTCCACCCTGCAGATTACAAGCACAAATCACAAAAACATCTAAAATCAAAAATATCTAGTGTCTCTTTGGTCTGTTTTATACGTTTTGCATTCACTATAGCTGTTACGCCGACTTTCTGTGATCAACAATCAATGAAGCAAATATAATAGGGGTGTCAAACTCATTTTCATTTTGGGCCAAATCCAAAATCTGAACATTCTTCTGGTTGCGCCAGAATGTATTGCTAAAACTAATTAAACTGTTAAAATACCAATAAATAGCTGTTCTTCCAAGATTTTGTGATTGTTTTGTTGTTTTTTGTGTTCAAATTACAAATTTTGTGATGCTAATTTATAAATGCTTGTTGTTTTTACAATATTTGCAGAAGTGTATGATTTTGAAAGTGACTTTTTATTAATGGCTGTATCAGTCAGGTAAGGCTAAGTCAGCAGTCACTTACATCCAAATGTTTCTGGCAAATCTTGAGAAAATTTGCAGTAAAAATTGGGAAAACTTTGGGGATTTGTTGATTTTGTAGATTTGTGAAAAATTGGAGGGACTTATTGATATAACTTAAAGTCTAAAGAGCCACATGAAAAGCTAAGGCGGGCCAGATTTGGCCCTCGGGCCTCGCGTTTGACACGTGTGCTCTAGCTCCTAAATGGAGCAGCAACAATCCAGCCAAATTTGCAGTATCGTAATCCCACCACACTTTGTGCCATCTGAAAAATGTAAACGGTTTCTGAAAGGGGAGACGATGCGCTTTCCAGCCAATATCAGGTTATTACGTTAATTTCACACACAGACATTGAAAGTTCCAGTTGTTATGGATAAATGGGCAAATATATTTACTCACAGGACATTTAAAAAACTTTGTACAATTAAAATAAGCAAAAATCTCCGGGCAGAGATTTTAAATTCAGGACATAGAGGGTTAAAAAAGGTCACGCCGACCCCCACCTGCTGCTGTTGAGCACATTGTCGACCACATTCCTGGTGAACATGTCCTTGTGGACGTCTCTTTCCGTAACGAACAGCACATAGCTGAGCCTGCGCGCCAACCAGCCCCGCTGTCTGCAGCATCAGACAAAGACAGACCAAAACACAAGGCATCATTCTTTTTCCCCTCATACAAGTGCTGAAAATACGCACAGGGATATCCTGGTGATTTAACATTAGCAGATACAATCAATAACTGGCACCCAGCTTTGTCATTAAATACAATAGCTTTAGTGATATCCACTTTTTTCCAGCGCAGTGTGTGCACAGCCAAAACAAACATTACCAACATATTTATTTAAGAATAACAGAGATCTATGTTGACCTAGTGTTTCCGTACTTTCCCCACACCAGATGGTCTCATAAAGACAATATTGTTATGGGTAAAACTTTAGGAAATCAAAGTTTTAATGAAACCAAAACACTTTCAACACTGCAAAAACACAAAATCTTACCAAGTAATTTTGGTCTAGTTTGCAGTGGAAATGTCCTAGCACACTTAAAATATGATAAAGTATCTTAAAAGTAAATTTTCAGCAAGATACAGAGGCTTGTTTTAAGTAAATAATTCCTTAGTTTTGGTGAAAAAGTTCTTGTTTTTCTTATAACATGGGAAAAATTTCTTATTAGTGAAATTATCTGCCAATCAGAAAAGTATTTTTCCACCAATATTAAACAATTATTTACTTAAAACAAGCCTCTGTATCAGGGGTGTTAAACTCATTTTCGCTTTAGGCCAAATCAAGATGATAAATGCTCTTAAAAGGGCCGGTTTTACCAGAATGTATTGATAAAACTTGTTCACAAATTGTTAAAATACCTGTGAATTATTAAAATTAAATAATATTACTGAAAATCTTTTCAATTCCTCCAGGATTTTGTGATTCTTTTTGTGATTTTTTTGGAATAAAAATAAAAGTATTTGTGGTACTAATTAATAAATATTTGCATATTTATGACAGTAAATGTGACTTTTTATTACTTGCTGTATAGCTCATGGATTATAATCTGACATTAATTAAGGCTGAGGCAGCTGTTAAGTACAAGTAAAAAAGTTTTTGACAATTTTTGAGAAAAAATCTGCAAAGAAAGTGCTGGGATCTGATTTTGTGTGAATTTCCACAATAATCCTCAAGACACTGGAGGGACTGATTGATGTAATTTGGCAGTAAATGAATGAAAACTGTATTAGTCTGATTGATAAGATAATATTTAAGCTCAGTCTAGAATCTAGAGGGCCACATAAAAAGCTACGGCGGGCCAGATTTGGCCCACGGGCCTTGCGTTTGACACATGCTCTATATCTTGCTAAAAAAGTTACTTGTAAGTTAGTTTTGCCTTACTTCAAGTGTACTAAGATATTTCCACTACAAACTAAACCAAAAATACTTGGTAAGACTTTGTGTTTTTGCAGTGAAATGATCAGTATCAGAGATCTGCTGTTAAAGTTTGAGTTTCAATTTTGCACCTGAGAATTGTTCAGTCGTGTTTGGAACAGATTTTTAACTATTAAATCCTCAAAAATTACTTTGTCTTCTAAAGTGAAAGTAAAAGAGAGACTGTACTGGCCGCTGTGGTCTGAACACTTTATCCCCAGACAGCGCTCAGTCTGGCAGAAAAAAAGCCTTGTAGAGAGCAGCTGAAACATTGGTCATTAATATTTATGATCTTTGAAGGAAAGTGCCAAGTTTGGGACGGAGAAGAACAACTTTTCTTCTTTCTCTGCTGTAGTGGAAGAAAGAATTTATCCAAGCAGTGTTAAAGATGAAAATCTCTCAGTCGGGTTTATTTAGTAAGCAGAGTCAGAGTCTTTTTATACCCAAACACAAACATGCATAAACAATTTAGAAGACAGACTGTGAGAACTAGCTTCTGCTTTCTATCCATGCAGCTGCAGACATCAGCTACATGACACCTCATGAGCATAATTAAAATAAAGTCATACAATAATCAGCTCAGAGACTCGTGAAACTTTAGAAACCAAAGTTCATAAGTGTTTTTGAATAACAAAGTTGTCAATAACATTTGCACATGATTAACCTGAGCCACACTGAAACATGGTGTGTTTGGAAGTAGCCTAGCTTAGCATTTCAGCATTTTATCAAGCTGTGCTGCAAAAGAAAAAGATAATTAAAGATTCCAACTATATGTTTAAAGTCAGATGTAAAATTATAAACCTATGAGCGTCTTAAGTGATGTGTTTTCAGAACAATATCGTAGCTTTTTTACCCTCATTAACCCCGAGCTGAAGAAGCCTGAGGCTGTCCTGCTGCTTTGGACCAGGATTTGACTGGACCGACCTGGATGCCATTTGTGAATAACTGAAATACTGATGATAAAATGCAGAATGTAGCTTTACTGCATCTTAGTGGCTCCAGGTTTTCAAGTACGTACATGGCATTAGTTTTACTAAGGTATCACACACCTGTATTTTTATTTTTTGCCCCTCAATATCAAGGAGAAAAAAACTCTTCTTGGAACATTCCCAGCTTATTTATTTATTTATTATGTCGTTGTTTTTTAGAATAAAACTACAAGAATTCAATATTTTCTTTTAATTTTAGCGCTCCATACCAAGATGATCATGTCCCATCTGACATCATGTGAATAGAAAACAGACAATGTGTTTTATTAAGGTAAAGCTGTAATTTTTGTGCATATTTAGGCCTGTCACAATAATCAATAGATCAATTAATCGCATGATAAATTAAAACAAACTCAATAATTTCCATTTGTTTCTTTTTTTTTTCTTTCTACCACAAACTGGATGATAAAAGTTTTCAGTTTAGTTTTAACCAGCCCTTTTTGTTTAAAAGACTTCAAAATTCACTTTATTTGATGTTTTATTTATTTATTTTTAATATTTAAAATGTCTTCCAGTTCCACTGTTAAATGCTCATTAGAATTTAAAGTTTACTGAACTCTTACCATTATATAATTTTAAAATGGCCTCCAAACAACAATATTATCGTTTATCGCAATAACTTCTGGAACAATTTATCGTCCAGCAGAATGTGTTATTGTGACAGGCCTATGTGTATTTACACCAAGTGTATGTTTAAGTTGTTTGAGGTTTTGGCGTAACTTTTAGGTGGTTGCATGTGTGCAGTGTCACTTGACAAACACGTTAAATTATTTATAAATCCGCCTTTCCACTGTGTCACAGATCAGGCCATTTGACCTGAAGCCATTCATTATACACACATTGCTTAGGAGCGCAGCACCTGCCTGACATGTACTGATTATATTATCTATAGGAGAAGCATCTTAAAGACATCCGACGCCAACAGATTAACTTATTCTTCTACCAGAGCTTGAGTTTGTTCTTCTTTTTGAGGAGCAGCTAAAAATAAAAACGGGTGTAGCTCTGACTTTGCTAACTAGTAGAAGAAAGAGATTGTCTTCCGTTTACCTCGTGTTGGTCTCGTTGATGTAGATGACGTTACGAAGGCCCAGAGATGGAATGCTGGGGTTGAACAATTGTTCCTGCAAAGAAAAAATAAGATCAAGCAAATTTTATTCCTTTTAGTTGGTTGAATAGATTTTATCAAAATGTACAGTCTTGCAAAAGCATCTATACACCTCAAGTTTTTTTTTAAAGTTACATTATGACTACAAACATAAATGCATGTTCATGTATATTTTTTATACATAAAAACCTGAAATATTGTGGTATGCAGTATTATTTTATTGCAGCAGCATTTTATTACACCCTGTCTGTATTTGACAGCTTTTCAAATGATTAGATGACAAATGACACTTCATGACAACAGTTGAAAGCATTCATGAAAACTCCTTCATCTTCATGACGGCTGTTATGTCATGTTTATGACAGTGTCATGTCAGTCTTATGCACACCACGTCAAATAAAGTTAAATTATTTAATGTTTTAATTAAATAAAATTTAATTAAAACATTAAATGGTTTACATGTATGCCCTCATGTCTGACCTACAGTTGCAGGAAGAATCTCACACATTTCTGTGCAAATAATTCAATGTGGTACATTGAAAAAAAAAGAAAACAGGGAAATGTGAAGGTGAGTCAGTGACACAGCAGTTATTAACGGCAGGAATTTTAATGATTTTATTGCTGAGAAAAGCCAACTGAATACCCATCATTCTCTCTATAATTCACCATTGGAAAACAATTAGAGACTCATTTTTATTTTGGGCCAAATCCAAAATCTGAACATTCTTAAAGGGGCGGTTGCGCCAAAATGTATTGCTAAGGCCTATTGAACTGTTAAAATATCAATAAATAGCCGTTACTCCAAGATTTTGTGATTGTTTTGGTGTTTTTTGCGTTCAAAATTACAGATTTTGTGATGCTAATTTAGAAATGTTTGTAAGGATTTTTTTTTACAATATTTGCAGAAGTGTATATGATGATGAAAGTGGATTTTATAAATGGCCGTATCGGTCATGGACTATAACCTGACACCAGGAAAGGCTAAGGTAGCAGTCACTTAAACCCAAATGTTTTTGGCAAATCTTGAGAAAATTTGCAGTAAAAATCGGGGAAAATGTGGGGATTTGTTGATTTTGTGTGAATTTTGCAGATTTGTGAAAAATTGGAGGGACTTGTTGATGTTATTTAGAGTCTAAAGGGCCACCTAAAAAACTACTGCGGGCCAGATTTGGCCCCCAGGCCTTGAGTTTGACACACGTAAATTAGCAGAGGGACTTTACCCAGCTCTGAGGTGTACAGGAGTGACAGCATCGGCCCACAAATGGCCGCTTCCTGTTCAGCAGGCCCTCCTTCCACGTCATGGCACAAGAGCGCAGGACTGACGGACTGGTGCTGCGGTCCTTGAAACACAGCCACACAGAAAACTCAGTTAGGATGAAAGCAGAACACATTAAAAAAGACTTCAAAAGGACCACACTTTCAACATTTGGACTAATTTGTAGCTGTGATTCCATACAGCGGTACAGTTAATTTGCACGTTTGACTTACAGGGTCTTCGTTGGGATGTTTCCAGCTGTTGCACCACTGCTCTCCATTGCTGACCGGCAGCAACGAGCCGTCGGGCAGCTCCATCTTCGCTGCTGCCTCCTTACAGATCACACGCACCAGATGCCTGCAAGCTGGGGAGATTTTACAAACATCAGCCTTGAGAATATACTACCCATTCTGTGAAGAAGAGTCTGCATGTCCCCTCAACTCGGGACAAATTCACCTCCAAATAAAACCTGATTTCATTTCCTACCTAAATGTTTTCACAATTAGATCTCATTGACTTATTTGTTTTCATATTGCGGGAATTTGTCTTGAGCACAACGTCGATTAAATTATGCGCACACAAAAATCTGAGCCTGTATTTTACATTTTTTCAAATTAATGGATGTGCTTTTTAAAGGTCCCAAGTATTTGTACGACTGCAACATTTCCACATTTTGTTATGTTACAACTAGGCCTGTCATAACAAATGCTGCTGCACGATAAATTGTTCCAAAAGTTATTGCAATAAACGATAATATTGTTGTTTTGAGACAATTTTTAAGTAATATAATGGTAATAGCATAATAATGCAAAAATGCATTCTCAAAGACGAATAAACTTTAAATTCTAATGAACATTTTACACTGGAACTGGAAGACATTTTAAATATCCTAAATAAATAAATAAAGCAACAAATAAAATTTATTTTTAAGTCTTGGTAAACAAAATTGTCCTTCAAAAAATGGGTTAGTTAAGACAAAAGCACCAAACTGAAAACTTTCATAGTCCAATTTTTGGTTGAAAGAGAGAAAAAAAAGAGATAAATGATGAATCATGCCAATGGAAATGATTGAGTTTGATTTAATGTATCATGTGACGAACTGATTTATTGATTATTGTGACAAGCCTGGTTTCAACTCCTTAAAATTCAGTTCATTTTTGGGAAGGTTTTATTCAATAATCTGAGAAATTTGATGAAAAGACAAATGGATGATTTACAGAAAAAATTATGCTACTGAATATTCTGAGTTCCAGAAAAACTATTCAAAATTTCATTTAAAAGTTTATCCATACCTGCGATATCCAACAGTGTATGATGCAACAGGAAACAATTTCACAATAAATGAAGCTTTCCTTCTGACTAATCAAAAAAGAACTTGCCCCAGCAAGCTGAGAGAACACACAGGTAGCATGAAGTAAGCAGAGATCCAACAAATGTACACTGTGAACTAGGTCAGTGAGTCACTTTATGAATGAGTGCAAAGCTCCTAAACATCATATAGTGTGTGTGTGCCAGAGGTGGGATAAACTGCATCTATTTAAGACTGTCCAGCAATGGATTACCGGCACTCTGAGCTGCAGTCCCTTTAAGGTGCTGTGATCCTAGAAAGTGATGCAAATGCAGATAAAGAAAACTGGATTTTCAAACAGGCTAGTGACCGAGAGTAGTCCTGCAGATGGGGTGAGTTTACTGGGCAACAAGCTGGATTAGGTAACAAATAAAAGCAGGCAGAATGAAGAATTACGAGTTTCAATACAAAAGCAGGCCTGATATAACCAATTACGACCATTTACGTCATAAGAAAGGTGGAAAATAAAACTTTAAAACAACAGAGAAATTATGTACTGTTCATACCTAATTAAACAAGATTAATCTTAAAGCGAGAACATGCAGACAGGAGCACATATTGTAAATACAGTGTATGCACACCACTGGGTTAATCCGTCTCACACTGTCTGTAATAACCAGGTCAAACAGGAGAGGTCTTTGTGACAGATGGGCAGTGCAGACAACAATAGCACAAACCAAGCTAGCCTCACCGCACTGTAATTTCGCCTCTCCGGAAAGAAAACTCAAGTATGCGCAGAGTTATTTAAACGTGTCCTCAGGAGTTTCTGCTGTCACAGTCTGTAGCTCTCTGCAAGGCATGCTGCTGCTGCTGAGCTTCAAGGGGGGAAATCCTTAAACAGCTTAATCAGGCAAAGTCCGAACATTACATTAAGTTATCAGTGAGACCAATAAAAATGAGGATCCGTCCGTCATAATGACTGGAATGTAAATTCAGAGGCATCATGTAACCGTGTCAACAACGTAGTGTGAACCAGCGCTTCAATACAGGTATTGTGCCTTTGACAATACACGAGCTGCACCGGCTACTATCTCTTCCTCAGCGTTGGCATTGTGGATGCTAGCATCAAGGTTAGCTACAACAAAACATGCTAGCGAGAACAAAACCCCCCACGACTTACCTTGATTATTCTCTTACGCTGAGTCATATTTCAAAAATTAAGCTCGTTGAAAATACACAAACCGGCATGCCGCTGAGCGTTTTACCACCCGGAGCAGTCGTTCACAAGCTAAAACTGAGAGGAGTGGACAGCACAGCGCTGACGAGAAGGGATGTATGACAAGAGGCAAGCGCACGCCACCCGGTAGCCGTTTTAGGAGCAGTTCTGCACTAGCGCTGGCTGCCGCTAGGGGTCAGTGCTGTGCCAGCTAAAAAAATGCACTTAGAAACAGTCGAAAACTGATTTTTACGTACTGTATATAAATAAAATATAAACCTTTTCTCACTGTCTGGCACATTGAGACAGGAAATATTTGCTCTGGCACCAAATATTACCTGTTTTATTACTAAGCTTGTTTCTATGACCATTACTATCTACAGTAACTCTTCAATTAAATGAGTTACAACAACGTTTAATATCCCTTTGGGATCAATAAAGTATTTTTGAATTGAATTTAAAATGACACAAAGATTGAAATATTTAGATATTAAAGAAACCAAATTGAAAAGTTTACAAGCATTTCATAGTTTTTGATTATTGATCATCACCAAAGACATAACAAAGCCATGTGACTTATGTTTTCCTCCATGAGTTTCTCATGTTTACTAGTATTTTGGTTTACTCCTCTTGAAAGAACTCAATGGTTATGGGGATGTACTGCCAATCTGATGTTTGTGTTTTTATGTATTTTTCACTTTTTGTATTGATGTTACTTTTGTGTATCTATGGTTATTGTCTTTTTTAAAGTATTGTTTTTGTTGTTGTACTGCAGCCTTGCCCCTGCTTCCTAGACAAATTTTTCCTTTGGGAGACTAATAAATTATCTTATATTATCTTAGCTTAACTGGTGGTGCTAAATCAGATTTAAAAGCTCCTTTTCTCACTTTCTCAATTCTCTCCATATATTTTATTTGGAAATGAGATCAGGGTTTGTGATATCCATGCCAAAATATTAAACTTGTTAAGCAGTTTTAAATTAATATGCTTCTTGGTCCTTGGTCTTCTGTTTGTTCACTGATGTTCTTTAACAAATATCTGAGATATTACATGACAGCAAGAATTATATAATAACTAGATGGGCTCCATATACTAGTTAAGTGTTACATAAAGCCAAATGGTTATACCAGATTCTATTTAGGGGTTTACAAATGTACAAATGCAGGTCACATATGTCACATTTCAAGATGTGAACTGTTGTGAAAAAGTTAATTATTTTACTTACACTTTACAGCTCTCCACTACTTCATATTGGTCTACCACTGAAAATCAAAATGACTTATTGAAGATTGTGGATGTACTGAAATATTGTGAACACTTTCAAATACTTTTGAGAGGCACTTTACCAACAAGACCATATTTACATTAACTTTATATATCAAAATTATTCAGAAAGTATAGTTTTTTAATGTAAAAACGAAACTATTTTTACAGTTCCCTGAATAGATTGAAGTGTCACTTCAGAAAGTCTTCTGCGGCTTCTCGTGGTTGGATTAGCATACTGCATGTTTTTGGACCGTACCACTGTGTCCATTGAGAAATAATGGAATACGCTAAAAAAAAAGGTATATTAACATACTATAATAAATATCTCCATAATTTTAAAATATATTTTAGCACAATACCACATATTTTATTCCATTATTCATTTTATTGTAAAGAACTAGACAATTATGATACAAAGTGAACGAGTCACCCATCTTTATCGCTGAAATGGTACAGTCTCCTCTCGTTCTATTTCCTCCGTTTCTGTCAAGCTATCGGTAGCCATGAGGTAAGGCAGATATTTGTTTACCCACTTGTTAGCTTTTATCTGTATCGTGGTAAACAAAAATGTTTTTGGTTTTGATATTTAAACTTACACAATTGACTCTGGCTCTTGTTTAGTTTCGGTGAATGTGATAATTTCACATAGAAAGCCGCTTTCGGCCTGTGTTGGAAAGCTAACTATGCTAACATGTAACCAGACATGTCAGAACATGAATCCACTGCATGGCTGCGAACCAGCGACACTTCACTCTGATTACTTATTATTCTCTGCCATATGAACAGAAAACTTTATTTTCTTTGGATTGTTAAAACCTAAATTCCAGTAACCAAACAACGCCGCCTCATTGTGGTTTTCATATTTTAGTTTACAACCTGGGTTAAAGCTGTCTGTTTCTACAAGCAACCACAAAATAGAGTTTTTAGCTATAAAATTAATTAGTTAGTTAATGTTGCTTAACCTGTCACATTGATTTCCCCAGTTCTAAATGTATAAGGTGCCACTGACCTAAAAACAATTGGTGACAGTCTAAGATATTGATAAGTCAGTGATTTTCAACTGAAAATAGTTGAAATCGATTTATTTTAAATATAGCTATCTAGTTATTTTCCAGCTGTTGCTTAGTAGAAAGAGTAGTTGTCTTGTCAAGTTCCCTACTGATCTGTGTACCTATCAATGCATTAGCATGCCTCATATTCATTCATCCATTAACCAATTTCTGTTCTTCTAATTCATATAAACGTTTGTATTGTTTAACAATGGAGTAAAAGCATTGAGTGGTTTGAATATTTGAGTATTTTGAGTGTGAAACGAGTCTGAATCTTATTTATCCACCTAATATTTGTGGTTATTTTTGTACATAAAGCATGCTCAGGCTCCAGAAGCGCCTGGCCTCCAGCGTCTTGCGCTGTGGCAAGAAGAAGGTGTGGCTGGATCCCAATGAAACAAATGAGATCGCCAACGCAAACTCTCGTGAGTTCAGAATACAGTGTGAAGCGTGTGGTGTTGTCCGTAATATCCTGCACTTGTCTTATTTCTCTGCGTTTGTGTTGCAGGGCAGCAAATCCGAAAACTGGTGAAGGATGGCTTGATTATCAGGAAGCCAGTCACCGTTCACTCCCGTGCACGCTGCCGCAAGAATACTCTGGCACGCCGCAAGGGACGTCACATGGGCTACGGTGAGTTATTACAAATAAAAATTACTCTCTGTCCTTCAAATTCACTTTCAGCCACTTTAACATGGTCAAAGTAATCTATATTTTATTTACTGTGACTTGCAAAAGTAGTATTAACTCCTGAACTTTTAGACTTAATGCCATGTTTCAACACAAACCTGAATGTATTATTTGGGGGGCGGGGGGGATTTTATGCCAAAACAAAACAGGACATGAATGCAAAGTGGTAGGAAATTTATACAAGATTCTAATTTTTATTTAGTTTTTACAAAATAGAATCTTAAAGGTGTGGATCTGTGTTATAGGCCTGTCACAATAACCAATAAATCAATTAAAAGGGTGATAAATTAAAGCAAATTATAATTTCCATTAGCATGATTTACTGCTTATTTCTTTTCTTTCTCTCTTTCTACCAAAACTGGATCATTTTGGCCTCAACTAGCCCTTTTTTTGAAGAACAATTTTGTTTACAGAGTTGTGAAAATTCATTTTATTTGTTGTTTTATTTGTTTATTCTGGATATTTAAAATGTCTTCCAGTTCCAGTGTTAAATGTTCATTAAAATTTAAAGTTTACTGATCTCTTACCATTATATTACTTAAAAATGGTCTCAAAACAACAATATATTATCGTTTATCGCAGTAACATCTGGAACAATTTATTGTCCAGCAGAATTTGTTATGACACTTGTAGTTGTGACAAGAATTTAACTTTTTGGCCAACATGGAAAATAATGGAGTGGGGAGGAAATATGTGCAGTTCTTTTGAAGTTTGGCAGTGATATGACAAAATATGACTTTAAATGCTTGGTTATAGATAAATTTAAGATTTAACTGTCACTGTGTGCATGCAGATTGTAGCTCTACTTGTTAGAGTTTCTGAATGAGCTTTACATTTCATTATATTTCCCTCCCAGGTAAACGAAAGGGTACAGCCAACGCTCGTATGCCAGAAAAGTTGACATGGATGAGACGTATGAGAATCCTGCGCCGTCTTCTTCGCCGCTACAGGGAGTCAAAGAAAATTGACAGGCACATGTATGTGGGAATCTCCGTTAATGTGGTGAATAAATGTGTGTTTCACTTCCTTTTACTATGAATACCTGTCTGTATATCAGGTACCACAGTCTCTATCTGAGGGCGAAAGGTAACGTGTTCAAAAACAAGCGTATCCTAATGGAGCACATCCACAAGCTGAAGGCTGATAAGGCTCGCAAGAAGCTTCTGGCGTAAGTTTTCTCGTCGTTTTGTTTTTCTTTCGAGACAACGACCTGACGTTCTGTTGCTGAAATTAATTTCTGTCGTTCACCTGTGCAGCGACCAGGCTGAGGCGCGCCGCACGAAGACGAAGGAAGCCCGCAAACGCAGAGAGGAGCGTCTCCAGGCAAAGAAGGAAGAGTTCATAAAGAGCTTGTCAAAGGAAGAAGAGACAGCGAAGAAGTAAATGCAACATGTAAAAAAAAAATCTGTCAGGTTCAACTTTTGTTGTTAATAAAATTCTATGAAATTAATTATCTGCTTTTGTTGTGAATATTACTTTCTGGAGGAAAAAACAGAATTGTAAGGATTTTTGCTCAAGAAAATATGGCTGTGTATCCACATCAGTCCAACAGGTGGCAGTAGAGCACCACGTCCTGTCACAATAGACGCCTCAATGTTTAGTTGAGTGTGGTCCGATATGCCTAAATGCAATTACCTGCATGATTTATTTACAAAAACAGGCTGTGCAAGGTGGCATGTTCGGTTTCCAAAGCATGAAGATGCTTTACAAATCAAATTATCAATTAAAAATACAATTTGGTAACATAATATGTAAGAAATCGTTAATTTGTTTGCTTGTATTGCACATAATGCAATGCATTGCATATCCAACTGAAACTTAAACATTAGATAACATTAGTGATATTTTTTTCTGTATATTGACAAACAAGAATATAGTGTCTTTTGCAATTTACACTAAAAGGATGTTAATTATATTTTGAGTAACCAAAGAGTACATAATCGTCTCCATGTCATTGTGAAATACAATTACAACTGGTATCCTGTAAAATATAATAGTTTAATTCAGTTTTACTGTTTTTGTAACTGGTTAGTTTTTAAAATTGTACTTTACAGCAACATAATGTAAATAATTTGCCAATATATACTCTGCACATTTTTACCTAGCATATGGTGCGACTGTAATGTCAAAGACTCAGTGATTTAGTACTGGAATTAGAAATTACGGTATA